ATTCAACTTATTTAAAACTTATTAAGATTTAATTAAATATATATAAATTGGACATTAATAAGATTTAATAAGGACTTATTAAACTTAAATAAGTTTATAATATAAACTATATTAAAAATATATATTTATTTATAAGGTTATATAAAGACTTTATAAATTCTTTATACGAATTTTGATGAATCTTTATAAAGAACTTATAAAACTTTTATTTAGAATATATAAATTTTTTTTTCGCGGGTGACGATTCAAACAAAATTGTTTCTAGACCTGCATCTATCTAAATTTTTAGATACTTTAGCAAAACTGTTCTTTCCATAAATTATTTTACAATTTATCTTGATAGAAATTTCATTGCACTTTTTAAGCAGCTAATGGACAGTTATATATTATATATTAATTCCGTGTCTAGTAACTGACCATGAGAAGTAAAACTACTTAGAATTCTAGTCTAAATATAACACTCTGCTTGCAGTTATTGCGCATGAAAGGCGAAAAAAGTCCGCGTCCGTTTACCGAACAAAAACAAAACAATAATGCCCTTCCCCAGCAATGTAGATTAACTTTAACCTCAGTTCAACTCACTCTTCATTTTTTGTATTTCTAATAAATTAAAGAAAGAGTAAAAAAAAAAAAATGTCTAATCGAGTTAATCAACATCGCGTTGGAAACGATGCACAGTGAATTACGCAGCGTAACTGCACTCAGACCATATATTTTGCAATTTATAAAATAATCATTATACGATAATTTATACGCGAAAATGCCTTCAACCATCCCTCCCCCCAAGCCTTCGAGAGCAATAAAAACAATGTTAAAAGTGTCTCTACCCTGATATCTACTTCTGCCAATGTAGATTAACTTTAATCTCGGTTTAATTTACTCTTGATCCCATTTTAATTCTTAGACCTTAGGAGAAGATAAGAAGCGAGTTTTAAAAACCAAAAGATTAAAGTCAACCTACATTTGTAGAAACGGGTATATAAATAGGATCAACAGGTTGAAAGACGAGACCGTCGAGAGACTCACTCTTATGCCGGCGCCACTGCCTGTAGAGAAGCGCGGCGACGGCGAGCAGAAGGATCGTCGTCAGAAAGGTCCCGATCACAGCTCCGGCTACGCTGCCCGCCCCGAAGCAGGTATCCTGCGCTGCCGTTGCTGATGGTGCTGCTGCGTCCTCCATGGCTCGCTCTCGGCACTCAGATCCGTCTCTCGCGCATATTCTCGCGCGCCTTCAACCGGTCGCGGCGTTCTTACCGCGAAATGCTCTCTGCGACTCGCTCTCCTTCTCTGCTTCTCTCTCTCTCTCTCTCTCTCTCTCTATCCTCTATCTCCTTTTCCTTCTCCCTTTCCTTCCTCGCCGTGTCGTCAATTTGGTCGCATAGCTCGCGTAGTTTCGCGCGCGCAAACCAATCTACCCGGACGAGACGCGAGCGCAGCGAAATTAACTGATGTCTGATTCACTGTACTATTATTTCTACCTTTCTCGCTTTCGTTATTTTTTTTTGTTCCTTTTCGTATTTCACCGATTGTCTGTCCAATGAGAAAATCTGAAGCCGCTTTACAGGCGGAAAACGGATCGATAATCGTCAATCACGAGTTTTTCTATCCGCGAACCCGCGTACGATTTGAAAACGAATGCTGCGTCGCCGAGGGTTCCCCCCCGTTGCGTCGCGACGTCAAAAGTGCGTCGCGGACAGTAAATGCCGATGCACCAATGCGCGAATCGCATCTCCTTTTGCGTTATCACCGGCGCGGAGGAAAAGGATCGCGATTCGCGATACTCGCGATCCGGAGATCGTGCGGACAGGGTCGATCGTCAAACTCGGGCCTCGCGACGCACATACGTGAGAAACGAGCGCGGATCGGATTTCCCTGCGTCTCAGCCGTCGGTCCGAGAAACGCCGGCGCGGCGTGGCATCCTTCCCGTACGGTTTCTGCGAATTTCGACACGTTTACTTGCGCACACGCGCAATCTCTCACGTACCGCGAAAGGATCTCTATCCCACTGTATAATCGACCTCCTCGCTGTAACGCCGCGCGACGTACTGTCGGAGCGGTGCCGCGGAGCGAGTAAAACAGGTAGGCGAGCAACAGGTGCTTCTGACTCTGTCGGCGGGGACTGGAGAGGGGAAGGAGATTGTTGACGCTTCTCGGTTTCAGGGCCGGCACTACGCGAGCGTTCAAATAGGGGCTTGTTAGGGGGGGACTTTAATGAGAGAGATAAATGTTTCTGTTAGAAAGTATAAACATCAAATGCAATTATATTTAATTTTGAAATGTAAATAATTTTAAGAAGTATATTATTATTGGCGAGTGTCGTGATTTGTACATAGCGAAAATTTGTATAAAATATTTGTAAATAAAGAAGTTTTTTAAATAGAGATGTTATAAATATACCATATAAGATTGAATCTCAAATAGCATTCACGGATTTGAAATTATAATTGGAATAATCGCGCACATTATTATATCTAAATTGCTTTAAAATTTTTTATAAAATTAAAGAAGTAAACACAAAATACAATTGTCTTTTTTTTTTTATAAATTTAAGTACGGTATAGTATTAACAATGACGAGTTTCGTGATTTTGTACGCAGCAAAAATTTATGTATGAATTAATATAAGTAAAAAGAATGTTTTTAATGGAAGTTTCTTGTAAATACTCCAGATAACAAGCTGACATTTGTTATTTTGATATTAGAATGACGTCTGTATAATTTTTACATCAAAATAATGACAGATAACATTTGGAATTTTCTTAAAACAGAAGTCAAGAGTATATCTATATATAGGATAATCATTACCATGTAATTAATAAATTTTAGATTATTTTTTATTGAATTTATTATAAATTATATGATATGTAGGTATAGTTTCTGAAATTAATTAATAAAATTTGTGCCAAAACCAATTAATTTTTCTATTATGTTAATCAATGAGATATAATAATAACTTTAATTAATTATACACTTTGAAGAGCATCCGAGTTTTTTTTAAGTAAAGTCCTAACCATTTTTTTGAACTCTTATATAGAAAACTCTACTAGCATTGGCATAATAATACTTTGCCCAAGAACATTTTTTAATTTAAATGGTAATAATGAATTATTTTAGAATTCTCTAGCTTGAATTTACTACTTAAAAATAATTTATTTTCAAAATGCTCAAAAATACTAAGAATTGCTAAGAATGTTAAGAATTATTTTGAAACTGCCCCGAATTTCATAAATATGTAGATTTTCTCTACTACTTTTTTTTTTTCTTGTAATCGCTGTCATCCAGACACCTTGCTCGTCTTTCGATCAATTGTTCATTCATCGTTTCTTGTGTTGCTCTGCACACATAGGTCTGGTTTACATCGTGAAATATTGGTACGCGTATTTTAAATTTGATGCGCACTAATGCGTTAGTTCGGGTGCGTTTACACCGAACGTAATACTAAAGCATCAAATTTAATGCGCGTATACTAATATTTGTAGAGGAGAAAAATAATAAGATTTAACATTGATTTTGAGATTACTGCGAACTGTTGACCGTTTAAAGCCCATGGCACATAGAAAAACCTAAGACCGTAAACGTAATCAATAAGCGAAGTGACCAATCACAGTTGAGAACGTAAGCGACGGCCGCCACTACTAAACATTTAAGTAGGCACGATGTAAACGCTGTCGGATTATTTTGATACGAGCGTATATCAAACAGGAATATCGTACTAAACTGATACGCGTATCAAATGATACAAATGGCGATGTAAACGCATGTAACACATTTAATACGCGTATCAATTCTTTCACGATGTAAACCAGGCCAATGTAAACACGTGATGCCTGGTTTATGCTTCGGTCTTAAGGTCTTAATCCTAAAATTCAGCCAATAGAGTTCAAATTTCGGTTAGACCTGGCAGCTTTATTGGTTGAATTTTAGGATCTTGGGATTAAACCTGAAGCATAAACCAGGCATGAATCACATTTTGAAGGGAATCAGGGGCTGCGTTCCGTTGTATGCATAATCCGTTATGCCATCCCATGCGTATAAAGCTCATTCTACAAATAGGCAGTAGCAGTATAAAGCCAGCGGCACACGGTGCTTGTTTTCCTGCTGGATTGCTAGCTAGATCAGATTCTTGCCATTGGATTGGCTGCGATATTGGCACTTTCAGCACCGCAGCCAATACGGTGGCAAGATTCTAATCCAGCTAGCAATCCAGCAAGAAAACAAGCACCGTGTGCCGTAGGCTTAAGTTATTAGTTAATTGTAGAACGGGCTTTAATGGCCGGAGCACACACTTTTGCATGACGCATAAGAGAATCAACAAATCATAATCCTTCTTTTCCTCCCACTTCACGGAAGAGAGCATTTTGATTGGTTGATTCTTTTATACATCGTGCATTATGCGTCATGCAAAAGTGTGTGCTGCGGCCATTACGGTAGCGCAGTGATGGGAAATGACAAGAATCCGTCTGCTCGGAGGAAACTTGGTGCGCATGCGTAAAGTGACGTGCTCGATCCAGTGATGGAACAGACAGCGCAGTATGGGTGCCTTCGGGGCTCTTATACATACGTGAAAAATCTCGCCGTTTATTTACTAGAGCTATACGAGAAAGAATTCGGTTTCGAATTCTCGATACGTAAACTCAATTTAATACCGAGCAACATATTATTATATAAGGTTATTATATAAGGTTTTCTACAGTTTTTTCCTTATTCTCGCAACAATTGTTGGTAATATGATAAATCGGTTGCACACGTAATAAAAGACATAAGTTTATTATTATTTATAATCATACTGTGTGTTTCTTTAATAAAATCTTCCTCTTTTCCCTATAACTTTCATATCACATTTGTTTTTGTTAGATTAGGGGCCTACGGTAATCAATGTATACATCAGTGAGGCTGCGCAGCGGTTTGCTTAGTGCGCATGCGCTTAATAATTCTCGCCATCTCCCATCGCTGAGCGTGACTTCGTCCTAATCCACTGAAGAATCATTGTCCATTGTCGACGACGGGGATTGACCAAAAACATGGTGCGAAAAGTAACGGAAAATGGTGACAGTCGCGGGTCTCATGGGCAGGCCTACAAGGACAAGAGCAAACCCGCGGATATTCGCAGTAGCAACATCAACGCTGCCAAAGGTAGGATTACAATTCGCGATCCGCAACCAACGATTTCTCGGATTGTGTCGGAACGTTCTTGCTATTCGATCGGTTATGGTGAACACGTGCGAAACTGAGGGAAATGTTACCTTATATAGTAATGAACGCGTTCTCGAGCCGGCGAAGCATCTAGCATGTTTGTCGAACAAATTCATTGAACGTTGTTTGTAAATATTGAAGAACTCGCTGCAACAGTGGGCTAATCCACATTTTGTAAAAACAAACTCCAAAATGAAGCGAGGGAAAATATCAATATTACATGTTTAAATATATGCATTGTAGGACTAACCCACGAGTAGTCAAACATGTGATATCGATATCTTTTTCATCACTTTAATTTTATAGGTATTTTTATAAATAGCCATTAAAATATGATACATCAAAAATAACAAGCTACAAGTAAATAAGTAGTGTGTCATAAGACAATAAACCCAGCAAGTACTTAGTGACTGCTTTGTGATGACCAAATTCTATTTCTTATGATTTTAGGCCAAGATTAGAATGCTATTTTATTTGTATATTTTTGTTGTATGACAAATGTGTGCAGGACAGAGAGATCCTTGGATATCTTTATCCTAGCCAACCAACAGGTTTGAAAAATTTGTCGTATTACTAAAAACGGATGCAGGTAATCTTGGCCTGACATAACTAATGTATTGTTATTTACCTTGAGAACTACTATCCTTCTAGGAGTCAATTGTATACTTTGAAATAAGGCAAAAATAATAAAAGTGAGCAAGTTCATTAGAATATTCATAATTTAACATAGAAATAATAAGAGCCAAGAGCTGCTAAACTGATTCTTGGCCTTTATTATTTCTATATTATTTTATACTTACAGAGCCTTATAATTATATTATATTTATAATTTAATTGATCAATATCTAATGAATTTACTCACTTTCGTAATTTTATAATATATAAATATGTTCTTTCCTTATTGTTTGCTTCTTTTCCCTCGCTTGACTGTCTATACTGACTACATTACCTCTTTTGACAACACAAAGAAAACATATTCTGATAATCGTAAAATATCTTACACAGTTTTATATTAATTAACTTCAAATAATTTGAGTCATGGACTTGTTGTTTTTTTGTATTTTTGACAAGGTAATATAACTTTTGTATTTATTTATTAATTTTTATTGTTTGTAATTTTATTAATTCGTATATAATTTTATTAGGATCAATTTATACTTATTATTTCAACATATGACTTAAGCTATACCAAATACTTTATATCAGAAGAAGAATGCGTTCACTATTCATTTTAATTCTATTTATTGTAACATTGAAAATGACCCGATCGGAGTCAAAACATCTGTCAATTTGTAATTTTATAAAGATCTTGTTAGCGATGCGATTCGCACAAGTCTTGGACCTAGAGGAATGGACAAGATGGTAAATTTCATATTTATTATTCCTATTTCACAAAGTTGTATGTATAATACTATTATGTGCATAATATTAATTTATTTTATATATATTTAAATATAACAGATTCAAGCTGGTAATGGAGAAGTTACTATCACAAATGATGGTGCCACTATCCTGAAAGAGATGAATGTGATCCATCCTGCTGCAAAAATGGTGAGAAGTAAATTTCTCACTTAAAATTTTATGAAATTTTATATTACATTTTATATTTCTTATATTTAGCTCGTCGAGTTATCAAAAGCTCAGGATATAGAGGCTGGCGATGGTACCACAAGTGTCGTCGTGATAGGTGGATCACTGTTAGAAGCAGCGGAACGTTTGTTGCAAAAAGGCATTCATCCTACTTCGATCAGTGATGCTTTTCAGAAAGCTGCATCTAAAGCAGTATCAATTCTGACACAAATGTCCATACCTGTTGACCTAGCAGATAAAGAATCCCTTGTAAAGGTTGCAGCAACATCTCTTAATTCCAAGGTATTTAATAATACATTTGATAATAATGTTAATCTAAAGTGATATCTTATGTATATATCATAATTATTAATATTTTTTTATTGATATATTTTAGGTTGTGCATCAACAATCTAGTCTTCTTGCACCACTAGCAGTGGATGCTGTATTAAAGGTCACTGAAGAAGGAAAGGAAGTGTCAGTCGATTTACATGTGAGCAGATTCTTTATATCGCTATTATATTTTTCAGCAGATTATTTAATGTATTGACATGAATTAACTTGCTTGTGTATTTCTTTTTATAGGATATTAAAGTGATAAAGAAGTTAGGAGGAACTGTTGAAGATACTGAATTAGTAGATGGGTTAATATTTACCCAGAAATCTTGCAATGTTAATGGCCCAAAACGTATTGAGAAAGCTAAAATTGGATTAATTCAATTTTGCATTTCTCCACCGAAAACCGATGTAAGTATCGTGATACATATGTATTTGTATCTATTGATCTTTTACATATAAATGGATAATCAATAGTATCGACTGGAGCAATATTGACCTTTAAATAGACTCGCTAGCATTTAGTTTGTAATTTCACAGCGATGGAGTGAAGTTCTCCATATTTTGCTAAAAATTGCATATGTGAGGCACAGATAGGATCGAACTCAAATTCAGGGATTGCTAATCTGTGGACCGAGCACTGAGCCACTTGACTTACATAGATGGATAATCAATTTCTTGCATTTTCTAGATGGATCATAACGTTATTGTATCAGATTACGCAGCGATGGATCGTGTTTTAAAGGAAGAACGTGCCTACATATTGAATATTGTAAAACAGATCAAGAAAACTGGTTGCAACGTACTTCTCGTACAAAAATCAGTCTTGCGTGACGCTGTTAGCGACCTAGCCATACATTTCTTGGATAAAATTAAGGTCATGGTAATAAAGGATGTAGAACGCGAAGATGTTCCTTTTGTGTGTAAAACACTGGGTTGCAGGCCAATTGCGTCGCTGGATCATTTTGTGCCTGAAAATCTTGTTAATGCAGAGCTCTGCGAAGAAGTTCAAACTGGAAATTCAAAATTTGTTAAGGTGCGTCTACGTAGGAAAACTTAAATTATCACAGTATATATCTTTTTTTTCATTTGTAATTGAACACATTTTGTAAAATATAGATTTTATATAATTGTTATATTTTTTATACAGATTACAGGAATTCAAAATCATGGAAAAACAGTTACAGTCCTTGTACGCGGTAGCAACAAATTAGTATTAGAGGAAGCTGAGAGATCACTACATGATGCCTTGTGCGTTATTCGATGTTTAGTGAAGCAACGAGCGCTAATTGCTGGCGGTGGAGCACCAGAAATTGAATTAGCATTAAAATTGGGAGAATATGGAGTGACCTTAGGCGGCATTAATGCATATTGTATTAAGGCTTTTGCAAATGCGCTTGAGGTTAGGTGTTTTAAATGCGTTTTTGTATAAAATAGTTGTTTGTAAATAGATTTTGTTTTAAGAATATGCTTATTTATATTACTTAAAAATTTTTGTTTTTAAAAAAAGAATTATCACAATTGATTTATTAAAAAATATTTTGACTCTTAACTAATCAATTTAGGCTGCATTACCCAGGTTTTCCCAAGTATCATCTTATCTTTGTTATTCATTCAATGTTAAACAAGGATAAGACGATACACGGGGGGTACTCGAGTGATATTTCCGAACGCAATATTAATGTATAATAAATAGTCGGAAATAATTAATACGATGCTTAATAATCACACATGTAATTTATAAATTATAGGTAATTCCATCGACGTTAGCTGAAAATGCGGGTTTAAATCCGATAGCTACAGTAACGGAACTTCGCAATCGACACGCGACGGGCGAGATAACTGCAGGGATTAATGTTCGGAAAGGCGCCATCACTAATATATTGGAGGAAAACGTGATTCAACCATTGCTAGTTTCTACTAGTTCCATAACTCTTGCTTCTGAAACTGTACGCAGTATACTGAAGATTGATGATATTGTCAATACAACTCAATAAATCATGAGACGTAATTTAAAATTGTTTTCGTGCTTGTAGTAAGTATAATTAACAATATATCGCATTTTATGTTTTCGTTATCTTTGTCTAATACTTTTCATTTTTGTTACAGATTTATGCACACCATCACGTTTGTTTCATTGATTACGAAAGTCTATACATTAACGATTAATCGTATATACTTTTTGCAAAAGTTTTACATAATGTATTAATATTTTTTTAGATACGTCAACACTGATTAATAAAAAAATATTTAAAAAATTTCAAATTTTAATATCTATCTTAATGAAAAAAAATCTTTAAATTTTTGTGATTCATTAAAAGGAAGAGGGGAGAAAGTGATTAATTTTTGGGAAATCTTGTGAACATTAATATTTATCTAAGAAAGAAATATATAATACAAATTGATTTTCTTAACAATTTAATCGAAGTACAATCTCACACAGAATTTTGGCTAAATGTAACTAAACATTAAGTACATTTTGCATATAATAAAATAAAAAATATATTTCACTATATTGCATCTTATATAAATCAACTGCATAATCACGTTGCTTTTAAACCCTAAAGGATTGTAATAATCATTAATGTTATTAATCATAAATGTCATTAAGTACATTTATATATATATATATTATATATATATATATATGATAGCTGCATTAGAAATCTCAAAATTAGTACATATTAAAATCGCAATCGATCGAAAGAATTATTTCATTCTATACATTAAAAATAAATATGCTCAATATCGTTGTGTTAATCGGCTCTTTTGGGAAACAATAGTTCATTGTTTATTTCTGATAAAAGTAAACACATAAATTCTTATTAAAAATATATGCGAAACATGTATCTAAAACAAACATTAACAAGTATAAAATTTTATTCAAACTAAATAAAAGACCCTTGGAATAATTAAATAATTAAAAGAAAGCCTATATGAGCAGTTATTTATGTATAAATTATTGTATTTAATTACAATAATCGATATTTACATAACTATGTAACTATCTCATACTGACATTTCAACTTCACATAAAGCTTTATATAAGATTAATTTTACAAAAGAATAACAAATAATATAATCTTTTCCTAATTTTTATCAAAAAAATCTAATATAAATTGTTCATTATACAAAAGACTTTTTAAATATTAACTATTCTTAATAGCTCTATTTTAATAATATTTGTATATTTATAATAGTTCTATATTATACTAATTATTAAACATGTAAAATGTTTTATAGTAGTAATAGAGAATTTGATTCACTGGTATATAAAAATAAAAATATCTTATAAATTAATAAGTATTCCAATTTTCTGGAATGTACATATTTTGTATATAAATTTTTACACACATTCTCACATAAGCTCAAGCGCAGACGTTTATATATTTATAATATCCATATAAATTACAATTTTCATTTAGAAACAAGTGTCAATTTTTAATAGAAATTGATAATATATAGACACTGTCTATGTATTATAATAGCAATCTTTATCGAACAATATAGAAGAAGTAATACAAAACCATATATATATATATGTTATTAAGTATTATTTTTTCATTATAGTTTTATCAGTTAGCGTAAAGAAGCAATATTTAGCTGAATAGTTTTATTTAAAAAATTACATATCAAAATACCGTTTTCTAGATACCGTAATATCTAAATGTAGTGGACACTTAAAGTTCATAAATTAAAGTTGATGCACTTCATAAAGTGCTTACCTCGAAACTTAACTTCTTAAAAATCTTAAAATCCAAAATTATTGTTCTTAGATATTGATTCGATGTCAATATTCGTCATTATTTATTTATATCACTTTCTAATATATATAGAGAATTAATCACAATTCACAAATAAGTGTTAAACTATCTTGAATTATATATTACTAGATAAATTTTGTTCTTGCATATAATTTTAAATAATTTACAAATTTTGATAAATAGGAAAGTTTCTTTTTCCATATTACCATCGTGGATGGACTTGATAAAAAGTCCATTGTTGATAAGCATTGTTTATGTCACATGGCATCAAGGATAACTGCTGAGTTTGAGGATGAAGTGCAATACATTTTTTATATACCCTATGTAATAATGTTTTTGTTTTCTGTAAAAATACGAATTAACATATATTGATAAATATTCATGTAAGATTTTTGTTTATCCGTTAAAAATTTTTCTTATCAAAAAATAATAAATTTACTTCGTCGTATTGCCATGGACCGTCTACAGTTCCCAGACGACAAAATGCGTATTTTATACGTTGGCCATCTGCATCAATGCATCTTTCACCGACACCCAACTGACCCTTTGCATTCAGTCTGATAAGCTAATAAGAAATGTATATTAAAAATTAATGTAAGAAATATTGGAGATATAGAAGTAACAAAGCATGGAATAAAGAAATTAATTGGAGAAAGATTAAGAATAAAAAAATTAAAATATTTGCAAATTACTTGATTATTTCCAAACCCATGACAGTGGGAAGTAGCCATAAGACTTGGAGGTGAGTGACCCATAGTATCCAAACATGATCCACTTGCCATATTACGTAACTAAAAAAGTATTGTTATTGTTAATACAAAAAAATTTGTTAAGAAAACAACCGTATGCATTTATTTCATGTTTTTGGTCAAACGTACCTCTCCCCAGTGAATATTTGGTGGCAGTTCTGGAAATTTATCTAGCACATCATATGCTACATTGTCGATGAACCACTGGAAGCTCTTACATTTCTTGCGTTTTTTAAAAGCTAATTGTTCGGATATATCACCGTGATCAAGCAATCGAGCTAGAGGTTCTCTAGTATAAAAGAACTCCTTGTGTTTCTCATCGAACCATGTTTCTATAACTCGTTTATAATTCTATAAAAATAACGTACTTTATAATGTTGTTTCTTTCGGTAAAAAAAAAAATATATATATTAATCTACAGATAATATGATAACTCACAATAGTTATCAATGGTCCTTTCTTTTTCTGAGCAAGTTTACCGAACGTGTAAGGCATAAATCCTCGATAAACGTGCCCGACATGTGAGCAAGGAACCCATAAAATACTTCCACCGCATTGCCATATCTTAAAAGATAATTCGAAATTTTCTCCTCCCCAAACGAGTAATCCTTCATCGTATCCACCCAATGATAAAAAGTATTGCCGACTTATCGCAAACAAACCACCAGCGTGCGTAGGTGATCTGTAAATCATACATGGATAAAATAACACTAGTGAAGAGAAACATTGATATAACAAATTAAATAAGACTATATCTATAGAAATAGAAATTGTACCTGTACGGCATACTGTCATGTGCACGAGTTTTGGCTTCTCGCCTTGGCAATTCATTCTCTTTGTACAACATTCCCCACTCAAATATTCCTCTGTACAAATGTCCTTCTTGATACACAGGACGATATTCAAAAGTTTTATGATCAATACCGTCTATTACAGGAACAGTCATTACATTTCTAGAAGAAAAAAAAATGTAAAATTAAAAAAAAACATTGCAAAGTTATATTATTTGTAAAGTATAAACTAAGAATTTATCTAACTTCTTATTCGATAGTATACTTCAGTTTTTTCTAGTTATAAAAACATTCTTTCATTTGCTAATGTAAATTATTTTACCTATTTTCAGCAATTGGCGCTAAAAGCGGAGGCAGCCAATTCACATTGACTTCACAATGAGCATCTAAAAATACTATTACTTCACCTTTTGCCTCACGTGCTCCTCGAGATCGCGTTCGTATTAAACCTTGTCTTTCGTGATTTCTAAGTAATCTAACTTTTCCTCCCCATTGTTCAATATAGGAATCTAAATCACTTTTTAAGTTCTCTAAAAAAGATTGCATTATTTATTACACATGTTAATTATCAAATACTTCCAGTACAAATATATTGTCACATTTTACATTGGAGTATACCTTTATCAGAAAAATCATCAACAAGAAGAACCTCTTCAAGTAACTTTGATGGAGAGCGATCTATAACGCTCTGGATAGTTCGCAGTAAAACAGACCAACCTTCGTTGTGAAAAACTATAATAACACTGGTACGTGGTAGCTCTTCTGGATAGTTCCAATGCTTACACCTATATTCCATAAAGAAAAAAAAACATGAAAATTAAAGACTAAAACTAATACTATTAGCTTTACAAGATGGAACTTACTCTGTAGGTCTGATATCTGGTATCGACCTCGACAATGAGATTTCATCAGAGCACACCATATTCATACCATAATCTGATTCTGATTGTTGGACATCGTTCAACTGATCATCTCTTAAAATATGTGGTTTACCACCCTCCCCAGGACCAGATCTAACTGAGATATCACGTGGTTCATAATTTCCTAAACCTTCTACAAGCACTGGCACCTGTGTAATGTTAAACAAAGATATAGGATGTTTTCTAACAAGAGACATGGACGATACAATACAATATAATAAATCATTACCTTATTTACTAATATTAAATAAAGATGAAATGATTCACCACATCATTTGTCTTGATAAAAAAACATATTTAATACATAGGAGGATAGAAAAAACCCAAAGGATTTCCAAAACATGTTTTAGCATAAATATTTACAAGATAAATTATAACATATTAATTAATATAAATTAATTAAAAATAATACATTTTACCTGTCTGTTTCCATGACTTTGTGACCAGTATTCTTTTATATTGTTCATATGACTGTCTGAAGAGAAATTAAGAAGAATATACAAAACTAACAGCGTCAGAGAGCTACCAATTAATATGTGGAACAAGCGATTTCTTCTAAACTGTACAATCCTCATTTTCTCTCCAAATTATATATCTAAAAATTTAAATACGTTTAATACTATTTCTGTAATTTTTGTAACTATTTTTTAAAATTCTGTCAACGCTGCGTATTATTTCAAGAATAAATCAAATTGGCAATTTAACCGCTGCATAATTTGTTAACGCGGAACTAACCTGTCCTATTTCTAGCTAATAATTTTGATAAATAAATGAAATGTACGGTACCTTTTGTCGGGAAAAAAGAAACTGAGACAATTTAAAGCCGGCTCAATGGCATGCATTCGTCAACGTGTCAAACGTCAATAATTATTACACGTTTGCAAACCTACATATTCAATTGTATCAAAACTGTAATACCTATGTGCATTTGCATAAAAGCAGTCAACGTGTCGCCAGCTGTATACAAAAATGTGGAGATAGAGACACTGCATTTGTAAAGCACAAAATTTCGCATGCTCGTCGCCATATTTGTGCAAATATGGCAAACAAGCAAGGAATACACAGTTTCTGATAGGTTGAAAATTTTATTCTCTGTTCCTTGATTATGCTGAGCCAATGGAGGCATCTGGAGAGAGTATGAAGTGGTGGAGGTAATGTTTTAATGGTCACTTTCAGCCAGACTCAACTATTGCGGAGCAGATCGAGAACGGATTGCTGCTATTGGATGATCCAAAAAAATACACCAATAGCAATGAGCATTCACTGATCCGCTCCGCAAGAATTGAGTCTGTTGAACGCGACCAATGTAATGGATATGCGTAATACAGGCCACTTTTCGTACAGATATACCGTCGCGGAATAAACTAAAATGGCTAAACTCCATCTAGACTCTAAAATATTCATGGTTGACATCGCCGCGGCGTGTTTACGTTTTGTATGTAGCTTGTGGCAAGGTGACACGGTTATTTATTACCCTTTTTTTTCGCTACTATGCTTAATATTATTTTTTGTTATATTATATTATTTCATATTATCATGATTTAATCAAATTTCCATTAGATAACATTTTCGGCTCCTACACGCACCTACACGTGTCTCGTTTCGACCGTTCAAAATTTCCCGCCCAACTTTTTTCCGGCTATACAGGCCATCGCGGTTATTATCCCCACCACCATGCTCTTTCCAGTCATCCATGAATGCATCGTTATCATAAGACCATAAAAGGCCGCAGCACACACTTTTGCATAAAGCATGTGCATAAGGAATTTCATTGGCCCATTTTCTCATGCATGAGTCAATGGACCAATCAAATTCTTTATGTATATGGTTTATGCGTTATGCAATAGTGTGTGCTGCGGCCTTTAAGGTACGTGGCGAAAAAGATATCGTTGCTGACAGCTGAAGACAATGAAAACTTAACCTTTGTTACAAGCAAGTAGGATGCTTGGATGGCTTGGATGCTTGCTAAGTATAATTTATTTCCTCACAGGTAACAAGATTATATCAGTTTAAAAAATTGATTATTTTGTAATATTTTCGTAACAATGAAAGCGATGTTATATCTTTAGTTATCTTAACACAGGTCTATACTTTTAACATTAACGTACTTGCACGATTCATCTTTCTTCCTTTTATCTCCACGTTGGAGAGAAAAAAATAAAAGATGAACCGTGTACAGAAAGTTCAGTTAAAAAGAACAGGCTTTTTGATAAATCACATGGATATTGACATGCATTATTTAACGTGTATCAGTAACTTAATAAATTATTTTATATGAAGGAGTGAAGCCACTCTAGAACACGAAAAATAAGTCTAACTTTATTAATTTTTTTCGGGAATGTAATGAAAAAAATAAACAAGTCTTCCCGAAAAGTACTACGCTTTAAACTTTCAAAAATGACACTTAGGAATTTTTCTTCGCTATAAGACCTTTTGTATCTTATTTCTAAGATCTTGCATCGTTTAAACAAAAAAATTTTTTGAAAATTTTAGAGTGGCTTTATCCCTTAACGTATTCTTTACCACGTGGATGTATATGTCCTGCATTGAAGATCTGTTTTTGTAACTGATACTGAATTAGTTTACTTAAAATGAAAAATTGGTACTTGTCGCTAAATTTGTGACCATACTTACGAACAATAATACAACTTCGTCTCGTTTATGTAACTTTAATTATGCGACAACTCTCAATTACAATAATGGTTACCTTAGGGAGCATAAAGTACGATTTGTCTTTAAATTCTTCGTTTATTTAATCTTGTGTTATTTGACAACTTATTCTTAATCGATAATGATCTTAATTGTTCTCTTAATTCAGTTGAGCGTCAATAATTTAATGATTAGTTTCATTTATTATTCTTTCAAAGAATTGTATTAAATCCTATATCAGATCTGTATAGTCATTCTGTTCTTGATAAGTTATTTGGCTATCCAAGCATACATAAAATAAGTTAATTTAGTATCACTTATATATATGATGGATATTGAATTAAATTTAAAAATGAAAATGTATATATCACTTATATTATTCGTTAAATATAAATTAAATAAAACTATCGAGAATTTATTAGATATATAAAATTTAAGTATCTATATTAATATTTATTTTTTCTTTATAGGTTTAGGGGCACCTTTACAAATATATCTCAATAATGACTGAATGCATTGACAATAACAAGCTTCCATCAAATAGTATGTTGAAAACATTTAATAGAATTTCATAATTTACTTATTGAAGAACGAGATATGAAATTGATAATAAAAATCTCATCACTTTCTTTAGATTATCGATTTGAGGTTGTCCGTTTGAAAAGTTTCTTTAACTGGCCACATGCATGGAAGAAATCAAAAGAATTTGCAGCAGCTGGATTTTATTATACAGGTGATAGCGACATAGTGAAATGTTTCGAGTGTGGTAAAGAACTGTGGAAATGGAAAGCAGAAGACAATCCAATGGCTGATCATAAACGATACAGTAGGAACTGTTGGTTTGTTTATAATATTCCATGCGGCAATGTGCCGATTGATACAGATCCTAGCACAATTCCAGCATTTTTGCCTAAAGGCGTGGATGAATGTGGAATTTATGATTGTACAAACATACCTAAATTTGATTCAAACTGTAAAGAAGTAAGTTATAGATTGAAAGAGCTCATGTCAAATCCACAGTATCCTGAATATAGCGAGTATTCTGCCAGATTGGCATCATATGATAAATGGCCTAAAGCATTGTCACAAAGTAAAGAAGAACTGGCAATTGCTGGTTTCTATTATTCAGGAAGTGGCGATGAAACATTGTGCTATTACTGCGGTGGAGGATTAATGGATTGGGAACCATTCGATGATCCTTGGATAGAACATGCCAAGTGGTTTGATAAGTGTCTTTATTTGCTTGTAATGAAAGGGAAAGAGTTTGTACACAATACTGCCAAGAAAACACATATAGTAAGTTTTTAACTTATTATGAAATATTGTATTTAGCCCAGTAAAATGAGAAAATTTGGAAGAAATAATGGTTACAGCTCTGAAAATTTGTGAACAGGCTTGTTTTGTACTCCCTTTGAAGTGTTCAAAAGTCCCCACCCATACCCCCCCTCTGAGAGAAATGGAGGGAGAAAAAGTGTCAAAAAAATCAGTTTTTCGAAAATAACTCAAAAAGTATCAATTTTATCAAAAATAAAAACGTTAAGAAAGTTGTAGCTGACAAAATTCCGCATATTTTTTTTTTTTTATTTGCCTCTACGACCAATAGGAGCCGAGATATATTTTTTTTAAATTTCGCCTTTTTTGATGCAAAACGATTACGCGTACGCGCGTCGCGCGTTATACGCTTGTATCTCGAGAATAGCCATTCGTATCGCAAAATGCTTCAAATAAAAGTTGTAGGGGATTTAATTACGAAGAATTTCCTTTTTTTAAACATTTCCATACGATTAATATTGACGGAGATATGATCATTTAAACATAAGACACAATCACTGTACGTTTTGCACAATAAAATCAATAATAAGTCGAAAACTGTAGATTGTACGCACTTAGTGTATGTAATGAAAGTTGTACAGAATCAAATTTTGAATCAAAATGTACATATACAATATCGTTCTGATAATCAGTATAAGATGATGCGGGAAGAAATCATGAAAAATTACCATTTTCAAGCGTTTCCTTGAAAATAAGTATGTTTTCACTGCATTTAGACAGTACTGCGCCAAATGATTTTTTGAAGAGAATTAATTTATCTAAAAAATGAGCACCGGCTGAACTTTCTACGATGAATAGTTCGCGAGTTACAGCTGTTTGAAGGTGTAACTAAAAATTGACATTTTATTGAAAATTCCGATTTTCGCTTAAAAATTGCGCTTAAATTTTTTTTTTAAATCGGTTTTATCCTATTTTCAGTACTTTATATATATACAAAGGTAAAACAAGATAATAAATCGTTCACAAGGTGCAGTTTGTTGTAAAAATACATCATTAAAAACTGTACATTTTTAGAAAATTTGAGTCGAAATTATTTGTCAATTCCGTATTTCTTAAATATCTTCGTTTCTGTTCATTTTACGACAAAATTTGATAGAAACTAATTGAAAGCTTGTAAAATTTCTGAAGCAGGGCGTCTTGGGTTCATATTTTTAAGATGGATAGTACATTCTGTACACACAAAAGAAGGGTCCGTAGGTATGCGGCCCAGAAATTTTTTTTTTAAATCGGTTTTATCCTATTTTCAGTACTTTATATATATACAAAGGTAAAACAAGTCAATAAATCGTTCACAAGGTGCAGTTTGTTGTAAAAATACATCATTAAAAACTACATTTTTAGAAAATTTTTGGGCCGCATGCCTACGGACCCTTCTTTTGTGTGTACAGAATGTACTATCCATCTTAAAAATATGAACCCAAGACGCCCTGCTTCAGAAATTTTACAAGCTTTCAATTAGTTTCTATCAAATTTTGTCGTAAAATGAACAGAAACGAAGATATTTAAGAAATACGGAATTGACAAATAATTTCGACTCAAATTTTCTAAAAATGTACAGTTTTTAATGATGTATTTCTACAACAAACTGCACCTTGTGAACGATTTATTATCTTGTTTTACCTTTGTATATATATAAAGTACTGAAAATAGGATAAAACCGATTTAAAAAAAAATTTTAAGCGCAATTTTTAAGCGAAAATCGGAATTTTCAATAAAATGTCAATTTTTAGTTACACCTTCAAACAGCTGTAACTCGCGAACTATTCATCGTAGAAAGTTCAGCCGGTGCTCATTTTTTAGATAAATTAATTCTCTTCAAAAAATCATTTGGCGCAGTACTGTCTAAATGCAGTGAAAACATACTTATTTTCAAGGAAACGCTTGAAAATGGTAATTTTTCATGATTTCTTCCCGCATCATCTTATACTGATTATCAGAACGATATTGTATATGTACATTTTGATTCAAAATTTGATTCTGTACAACTTTCATTACATACACTAAGTGCGTACAATCTACAGTTTTCGACTTATTATTGATTTTATTGTGCAAAACGTACAGTGATTGTGTCTTATGTTTAAATGATCATATCTCCGTCAATATTAATCGTATGGAAATGTTTAAAAAAAGGAAATTCTTCGTAATTAAATCCCCTACAACTTTTATTTGAAGCATTTTGCGATACGAATGGCTATTCTCGAGATACAAGCGTATAACGCGCGACGCGCGTACGCGTAATCGTTTTGCATCAAAAAAGGCGAAATTAAAAAAATATATATCTCGGCTCCTATTGGTCGTAGAGATGCAAATAAAAAAAAAATATGCGGAATTTTGTCAGCTACAACTTTCTTAACGTTTTTATTTTTGATAAAATTGATACTTTTTGAGTTATTTTCGAAAAACTGATTTTTTGACACTTTTTCTCCCTCCATTTCTCTCAGAGGGGGAGTACGGGTGGGGACTTTTGAACACTTCAAAGGGAGCACAAAACAAGCCTGTTCACAAATTTTCAGAGCTGTAACCATTATTTCTTCCAAATCGTTAAATTTCTTTCCATTTCACTGGGCTAATTGTATTATCACAAAAATAATTAGTCAGTATTTCATAGGGTTTAAATGGAATATTATAAAAGTAGTAATTTATAATATATATTTATATGCTGAAATATGTGTTCATATTGTGCGTTGTAAAAATAGTGAAATAATTGTGCTCTAAAGTACAAATGTTAGTTTCAAATTATTTTTTTAGGAAACCATAACATCTGCAGTTGATAAATTACTTGAAAAATTGGAGGAAGATAGTAATGAAATTATTGGTAATGGAAATACTCAAAACTCAGTTAATTCTGAAGAAACTAATACAGAAGCAAGTATCGTATCAGGCAAGGACAGTACCGAGCAAAAATCTGTCCAAATACAGAGTGACAAACCACATAACAAGGATTATGCAACATTATGTAAAATTTGCTTTAACAGAGAATTACAGGTCGCGTTTATACCATGCGGACATGTATTAGCGTGTGTAGAATGTGCCAATAATATGCAAGTATGCGGCGTATGTCGTAAGGATATTGATATTGCTGTACAAGTGCATTTCACATAGGGACTGTTTTTTCTTTGTAACAAATGTCATGTTAATTTTACTCCAGAATATTCCATTTATCATGAAAATCGACACTTTAAAGCAAAACTAAATGACATAGTTCATGTAGCATATAGATCAAGAGGTACGATAACAGTGACTGCATTACATAAAAAGCTCTTGTTAATGAAATATTAAATATTAACCTTATATGTTGTCGTATGATCTCGATAGAATAAATATTCTGGAAGTTGATTATCTATATCTTAAAATAAGGTGAAAATTACAAAAATGAGCAGTTTACTCAAATATTCATAACTTTATTGATGAATATTTAATGAATTTGCTCACTTTTGTAACTTTTACTTAATTTTGAGATACACTTTTGGCGCATTAAGTCTTGTATTACATCAATTTGATCGTTCATCATCATCACTCATATTTATGTATAAATTTTTGGATCTTATCCTATTTATCTATGGAGGCATGAGCCATTAAGTAAAGAAGAAGAAGAAGAAGGGAATTTCAAGATACACAATCGACCCCTGTTGTAATATTCTTCTTCTTTTGATTGGCTCCCGCATCCAGACAGTTACGATTTAGCCATAAATAAGTGCACCTAGCTGCAAGTAACATACAGTAGTACAAAATCGCAAAATGCAGGGAATAGAGTAACTCGTTACTTGTAACGAAGTTACAACTATAAGTTATTATTTTGGTAACTTTACTGGTAACTGCGTTACTTTCTTTTTTTGGTAACTGTAACGGTAACGAAATTTACAGTTACTTTTATCGTTACTTTGCATACGATTGGACACGTTATTCCGTTATACAGCAATTACATGTTATTAATTACGACAGTTATAAATGTGGTTGTAGGAGTGTTTTTATTTAATACAGGCGTACAAGCTAGATTTAGTTCAACTTAATTTAAACAACATGCACATTTTGTTCTAATTGAGCTGTACCGGCAGAAATGCTGTCCCTCGGCGTTTGGCCGTACACGTAATGTTGTAATTACACAACAATTTTTTACAATATTAAAAATTTTTATGCATAATTACAATATATTAGATTATTACAATATATATATATATATCACAATATATAGACACAATACATAGTATCAGTATTATACATGCTATATACACTACTCGCATTAATTAAAGCATCACCTTTCACACCTTCGAAAAATTTGTAAACTTTAAATGAATGTAACTTCTACAAAAATGGTCCCTTTGACTTTGACTGTTCATAAAAGACAAACGGAGTGATACAGCATTTTTTAAAAAACAAAAAAAAAGTTCAATGTTTTCTCCTTAAAATGTTTTTATCAATTTTTAGACACAGATAAGCTTTTTATGTAAAAACTTAAATGAAAGGTGAAGTTGAAAACTGAGGCAATTATCCGTTTCTATTCGACTGGATCTATTCTGGTCAAAGGAGAGAGAGCAACTCTGATAATTAACGTAATTTTACACTTTAGGGTCTACTAATCTCCACGAGACTCATGCGAAACAGTCGCGACATTTTTTAACTAATGTCCTTCATGTTCAAAGTTACGATTTTGGGCAAGACGGCATTCGCTGTATTGAAATTAATCTTATATCGCAGCTTGCGATCACACCGCTGGCATTAGCATTATCCGAAGCATACCACGTGGAGGTTGCACAGTCGGATTTTACGCTTCTTGTGTTTGCGTGTGTGTGTGTGTGTGTGCGTGCGCGTGTATGTATGTGTGCGTGTAAATAAAAAAATTAAATTTTAATATGAGGTATTGTTGCCTCTATTATAAATTACGTCTCTTAAACGTTGGTGCATGTTTATGCATTGCTGGATCGCTGCTTGATTTGAGGAATCGTACAACGTTGAATAAAAAAGCAAATTAAAGGTAAAGATTCACTCTTTCCAATGCTGCAAACCACATTTTCGTGTAATTTTTATCTCATGCCATAAACCTTTGTAAAGTTTGTAAAAAATTTTTAGATTTGACGGATATCCATTTGTGTCCGTATAACTCCGTAAAGTATATCATTCATATTGAAATTTCAATTATAAACTTCGAAAGTAGAGATTTTAAGCTACAAAATGCTTTCTTGAAAGTCTCATTTTGATCATTTTTGTAGAAGTTACACTCATTTAAAGTTTACCAATTTTTCGAAGGTGTGAGAGATGATGCTTTAATTAATGCGAGTAGTGTATATATATATATATATATATATATACGCACTACTCGATTAATTAAAGCATCACCTCTGTTAATAAAAAAAATATATTACTTTTATTAACATTTAAACAAAACATACTGCCAAAGTACATTTTCAGATTTATTTTTAAAAAGTAACGAAAAGTTACCTTTCTAGTAACGGTAATTATAACGAGTTTATACTTTTAAAAAGCAATAACTAGTAATGGTAACTCGTTAATTTTTTTACTCGGTCACGAGTAACTGTAACTTGTTACTTTTAAAAAGTAACTTTCCATTCCTTGGAAAAATGATACAATGCTCGCGAAAATGGTGTAGCCTGCTCGGACACCGAACGTTTGCGTCTACGACGTCATTACGTAGCAAGGACGTGCGTCAGGACCATGGTGGAAGACTTCCACCATGGTCAGGACGAACTTCTTCCTAAATTAATGATTCCCGCTTCCCGAAATTGTAGTATAGGAGGTCGATGTGGCCAGATCATGTTTTAAGAGAGTTATATTTGAGAGTTATACTTGATTATACTAGTGGAAAATTATGATGCAATTCCGCGAAAATGGTGTAATCCGCCCGCACTACACCGAGCACCAAATTCGCGGGACGATCAATTGAGGGGTAAGTACTTATGTTCAGTCTAAAGGGTACATTCTAACGGTGACCATATTTTTTTTAAAGAAAATAAAGAAAAATCTGAAAATTTTAGGGCCTTATGTTGCTACATGTTTTTAAACCAGTTTATGATCTGTCAAGAATCTGCGCTTTATAAAATTGTATTGCACATTATGATTAAATTGAGATATTAAATTGAGGTTCGACTGTATTGGAACAAATATCTTACTTGATCTGAAATAATAAAAGGTTCGAAATAATAAAATATGAAAACAACTCTAGTTTGAGTAAATTTCATTAAAAAGAATAAGTAATATAATTAACACAAAAACTAATTGTATTTATATGCAAAAGAAACCGTAAAATATTTTCCACGAAACTGCGCGTTAATAACATTAGATTAGACATTGAAAGATTAGTTAGAAAAGAAAATTTTCCTTAATGTCAAAGCAAAGTACAGTAAAAGGCAATATTGGAAAATAAAGAACAAAATTGCGTTTTGAATAAACAAATCTGAAGGACAGCTATCTAATAAAGGACTGTCCTTTACAATAAAAAATGTATGGTCATCGTATACATTTCAAAACAGCCTACGAGGAAAATTTTGTTCGAAATATGTAGTACACGTAACTTATTATACTATATAGTATATAGACTAAAATCTTCCTCGAAGAGGACATTTTGGAATTAGCCTAAGTTGGCAACATTTTTAAAAATATACAAATTAGATATAACACCCGAAGCGAAACGCGTTTTCTATTGTAATATTAACAAATGTTAAATATACTTTGTTGTTATGTGAGTAATAAATGTTTCTTACAATACTTGGGTTAATGTTTATTTACATATAGCAGAGTGAATCGAAAAATCCTGTACCATTTTGCAATATTTGTAATAATTAACAAAATAATTTCTAATTGCTGAGTAAGCGAGACATATGATATGTGGGAACTTGTTTTCTTTTGTCATCTTACGCAACTATTATTACCTTACGCTACTGGTATAGTAGACAACTTCCTGCGCAACAAAAAGATATATTTTCATGCATTTTGAAGATGATTTACATTCCTGAAAATAATTAGGGTAAAGCGGGGTAATTTTTATACATTAAAAAAATTTTCAAATTACATAGAAGATTGAAATTTTGTGTATATAGTGTATCAAATCAAATATATATTACTGATGCAATAGTGTACGTTTTGTATACTTTAATATGAATATTATAGTATGCAACCCCAATTTTTTGTACATTTAAAAATTGTTATAAATATAAAATAATGTATATAAAGAAAGGCAAAGAGCCGTCAGTAAATTTACTGGCTCTTTATCTTCTTTTATTGGTAGATATACATTGTTAAAAATTTCTGTAAACTTATCCAAATTATCTTCTTTTATTGGTATACATTGTTAAAAATTTCTGTAAACTTATCCAAATTACTCTGTTTTACCTTATTATATTATCATGTAAATGAAGATACATATAAATATTACAAAGAGAAATATACTCATATGTTTATATTCATCCAGACACACATATACTCATATATGCACTTAAAAGTTTCGAGTGCAAATAGTGCTATAAAATGCAGCTCAAAAGAGCAGATCAACCGTTTGTAACAATTTTTCTGTAATTTGCACACATTCTTTGTTAAAATGTTATTGCAATATAAATACGTATATATATTAAGTTATGTAAAAGACTGTGAAAAATATTATGACCGATTAATGGAATTGATGATGTTGAGCTTACGTCAAGGGCCAATTGCCACTGTACTTTGACCCCTGACTTGATTAACGAGTTTTAGAACTGCTATTTCTTGGACACTTTTGCTGATAGACTTTCAGTCTCATATACAATAATCATGTCAGACACCGTTAGCCCTATTAAATATTTCTTAAGCGGTGGGTTTGGAGGAGTGTGCACTGTGATAGCTGGCCATCCTCTGGATACCATAAAGGTGAGGTTATATTTTAATTGTCCAGCTTAATTAAATCAAATTGAGTGTAAAATTGACATATTCCTGCTTCTTTTTTTTAAATCTATATTTTGCCTAAATATCGCAGTCTGTACGAATTATGTGTGTTTTATAAGACATTGTTCTATATATTTAGGTAAGGCTCCAGACGATGCCAATTCCAAGACCCAATGAATTGCCTCTGTACACTGGTACGTGGGATTGTGCTAAGAAAACAATCACCAAAGAAGGAATACGTGGCTTATATAAGGGTATTTATGTTTGCACTGAACATCACATGAATATCGTTAGGTCAGGCTTTTTCCAATTCAATATCGAGATTATGAAGATATTTGTATTAATCCTTAAG